ACATTAAGCTATAATTGTACACGGTCTAATCAGTTGTTCAGATAATGTTTTACCGTAGGATATAAATATATTAGATAAATAAACTGCCAGAACATTTGAAAGTATTCATTTGAAAGAGAATAAAAGTATTCCTGCTATTCAAAGAATGTTCACATTGAATATCACATTAACGATCAAAACATATACGGTAACTCAATACGTCAGCCAACAATCTCAACAAACGATGAGAATCTATAAATAAGTAAGAAAAGTATCAAAAACAAAATTTATAAACAAAATAAATGATCCTAATGTGATAATTAGAAGTATTTGAATTAAACTACGAACTAAGGATTCCAGAAATAAAGCAATTAGATCAAGAAGTAGTAGATAAGCATGAACGAATGTACTGTATTTGCAATCCGAATTCAAGTATTCAGCAAGTATAAAGGAATCATTAGTTCATTTAAACACCATATCCAACCTTATGAGAACCGAAACGAAAAGTTTATAAATGAACGCATCCCAAATACTGGATCTGCATTTGAGGATTGGTGTAATAGTTATATAGAACATATACATGACTACAGATGACAACAACAGAGTGAATATTTCACATAAGGGAACACAAGGGAATATTTGTCCAAGTAAACATACGACATGAATTTTTTCCACATATATTCACATGAAAATACACAAAATGAATTCAACAGTTAGTTCTTGTTCTGTTCTGAATACTTAGTCAGTTATTCTTATTTGAATTCAATGAATACTCTATGTCAACGCTTGTTATGTTACCATTATCCACAATAGCTGACTTTCTTTGAGTATGTTAATTCATAAATACCCAAATATTTGAATGTCTTATGAAAAAAATATTTATCAGAAGGGGTTTGTGGAGATTTTAGAAATTTCACCGAATGAATTCGTGAGTCATTTGAACCCCATTCTGATAATAATCATCTGCTCACTAGTGACTGACTCCAAGAGATACTCCTGGAGTTCTAATGTGAAGCCGTTACCAGTGGAGTTCAACCAGGTCTGCTGTGACACATCAGCTCACTGATAACAATTGTCTACGGTGGCGCAACTTCGTGGATTGGTTGAAGTTAGACATTAACACCGTTGGATACCGGCTCAGTGGTCTAATGGTTAAGTGCATGCGCGCGTAACCAGTAGATCCTGGGTTCGAATCCCACAGGGTTCGTGATTGTGGATACGCACTGCTGAGGAGTCCCATACTAGGACGAAATGGCCGTCCAGTGTTTCCAGATTTTCAATTGTGGTCCAGCTTCAACTGACTCATGATTTCATTCTGTGAAAAAATATTTACCAAACTGATCATCAAACAAAACCTTGACAATCAAAATCATTAAATTGACAATTTCATCCTGAATGGAAAGCATCATTTTCATTAGATTCCAAATGATTAAAAAGAAGTCGACAGAATTAACTGTAGTCCATAAACTCACGAAACTTCTACTACTTCTATTCTTTGACAAAATGTAATAACATTCAATAGAAAACTAGATACTCACAGAAGTATACTAGTAAAAGAAATAAAATAGGCCGCAGTCCTTCTGTTTTTAATATGTAATTCTGAATCTGGATCTGACATAGTAATGATTGTGTTGTTGCTCTACTTACAGAAGTATTTCGTTAAGTTTGTAGTGTGGCGTTCAGTCGAGGTTGACTATGATCACCACTACTAAAGGTTGCGTACCAGATATCAGAAGGCGATTGGAGGTTGCAGCGAGATATATTTGTTGGCGATGTCGTGGTATCAAAAGAATTCCGGGCTCGCGCCAAAGGAGTACAAACGGAATCACTGAACAAACGTAAGTGTGTGCAAAGTCACAATCAACGGAAGGAAGAATGTCCTTAGTACAGTTAAACAAAAAAGTACAGTGAAACAATCACTAGTGTAATTGGTTATAATAATAATTGTTTCCATTAAACCAATCGCTTTCTCTTGATAAAAGTAGATCACTACAAGTTCATCAGCAACTAGTGAATTAGTATCGTCCAAAGTATTCACAATGTTATCAGTGCTGATTCCCCGATGTTTGATAACATCCCAAACTCCTTATTTAAGAGAAACCTTTTATCACTTTCAGATAAATTTTGGAACAAAACCCCCATAACTTTGGGGATTTCCCCAATATTTTCTCAGTATCTTATAACACCAATATTGGTAGAAAGTTACAACGGGTTCCTGTTGATAACTGCTGTTTGAAGTAATAATAAATTGACATTTCCATTTCCATACACAACGATAAAAATAATGTATCTGCAGAGTGATGAAATAAAAAGAGAATACTCTTTTTAAAAAAAACATTCAGACAGATCAACTCTAAGGTTGTCATTAAATGATTAGTGAGTAAATGAGAAAGTTGTTGATTACTCCATGTACTTTTAATTGAATGTTTTACTTAAACTGATACTTACTTACTTGCTTACCTACTTACATCTGTTACTCCTAGTGAAGGAGCATAAGCCACTCACCAGAATTCTCCATCCAACCTTGTCCTGGGAAAACCTTTCCAGCTCCTTCCAGTTGTTATTCATCCTTTTAATATTTGCTTCTGTTTCCCGACGTAATGTGTTCTTTGGCCTTCCGCTTGTCCGTTTCCCTTCAGGGTTCCAGGTTAGGTCTTGGCACACTATGCGTGTTAGTTTACGGGTTTTCGCGCACATGTAACATATTGTCGTGGATTTTATGTGTCATTATTTATCAGCTATTAACAGCCTTTTTTCCATCATACGTGACTTCTCGTAATCTTTGTGATTGGAAGATAGTATTTATTTCAATTTGTAAGCAGTTTGACGTATTTCGTGCTCACCACCTAAGTAAATATGTAGTTGGCGTAATATGGTTACTTTTTAGCAATACAAAGTCAAACAAGTCAAATCACCATTTTTCTAGTCGAAAATAGATTACAGATTGACTTTTCATGAAAATAAGCCGTGAAAAGCATTATATATGGTTCACCTCCTTGATTATGGTGACGGCAAACATAGATGTTCGTAGTCGTTTATAAAATGTAATCAGAATGAAGTAAGCATTGAACTAACTGAATAATATATAAATTGTTTTTATTTAGCCATAAAAGGTTATTTGCACTATAGGTAGCATTGTTTTGTATTGAAGTGACATATTATTGTGTAACGTATCAGAGAAAAATTATGTGAGTAAGAATTGATGTTGATAGTCTTTTTTACCGGCTTTCTGAACAGTGTATAACACCACATTAAATAGGCACAAAATCTTCATAAGTAAAACAATGGGTGTCTCTTCTGAGCATGGTGACAAAACCGTGTCGTACTTAATACTGATTTATGATGTGTCTGTTATAGGGTTGACGAATAATTTTCTGTAAACGAAATGCACAGTCGCAGACGAAAATGTGAACAAAGTTATGACGCATATTGTCGAGTAATATCTAAATGGTACTTACCAATTTCTCTTGCTAATACCAGATGTATAGACGAAATACTACAAGGGTTAGACACTGAATAAATTCCCAGTGCTTGTTACGACACAGACTTGAATAAAAAAAAATATTTATGAGTTAATTCATGAATTCCTACTGCATTACAGACTGACTCGTCCGAAGTAATTCATGTAGACAACGTGACGAAAAGTGAATGAGCAATGGAAGCAGAATCACAAGTTTCTTGTATTCATATCTCCTTTATGCCACATTAATGAATTACATTTTCTCCATAAGTCAGACTACGCTTGTAGGTTGTGACGAAACTAACTTAAGCAATTTGTAAATAACACTGATATGTGTGTTGTAAAGATTACCTATTAATTTTTATTAAAGGAAATAGAAGTCTCTAATGATTAGCGCTGTCTGCAAATAAGAGACTTATAGGTACATTCTGTAACCTGCTATTTGATGGACTTATTGAATGTGATACTGATAACTAAGTCTAATTCTTTATTTCACGACCGATTTATTGTTTTTCAGAATTGCATGGATCCACTAAAGTCGTCAAAGCTTTGTGATGATGTTTACGCCGGTCTACAACTTATGGAATTTGTGATTATGGAAGACCATGTTAAAATCCGGTTTACAAGTTCACGTTAACTGTGTTCCGTATTGCCTAGTAACATTTTTATTCAACTAATGGATTAGTGAAATATAAATATAGCAACTACACTCAGTGTCTTACTTTATAAACCGTGTCCGTATTTATTAATAGTCGATATGACGCTAGAACAAATATAGATACAGAATAATATGAACTCCTTATAATCCATGGAATGAACAAGTAATAAGATGGATTGTGTAATGATTCATTTCACCTTTAAAATTTAGTTACCCATTTATTCCAGCACCCTGTCACTTACATCTCACTTAATCCTCTGTAATTATGTGACCTCTTAAAATTGTAATCAATTATTACGTAACCCAGGTTTTCAGTTCTTAAATCCACGGATCATATATAAGCTATAAGATTTTCACACCACTTGTCTGTCTGTGAACTCCAGTCCACTATCATACCACCCATTCTTAATGTGTTATTGACTGTAAAAACAAATAACCTTTGACCTTAAACTGCATATATATATATAGTCATTATTGATAACCTACGTCATTTCAATTATTCATATTCAGGTATGTCGACTGTTTTCCACATCACTGTCAAATCCTAGTGCACATTTAGTTATAATGAATGCATACCACTGTTAATCAACATTTCTCCTGGTTTCATTTTAATTCATAAGCGGAACTAATCACATGAAATTAAAATCTACTTAGCTACTGATACGATTTTGATGATAAACGTAATCCGACGAAGGTGAATATGATATGTGGGTGCCTAATCTGCAAGACTGTACGTGGATGTGGGGTTTCGTAATCATTCTTAATTATTACAGACAGTTACACATGAGCATTATTGCTATTCATTCCCATGAAAGTAGGAATAAGATGAAAATTAAAATTATGAAAGTTTATTGAATAATCATTGCTGCTAAAGCAGAAAATCAAGTTTACAAGTTGGTATTAAGAATTCTTAAGTAGTAATTGTCCACTTTCTTCTCAACTTCCGTTGCGAAACGTTCACCAAACTTCTCAATGATGCGATGCTTATGGATTCTTTGGCTTCGTGGCATATCCATTTTCTAAATGTTCCCTCACTTCGCCTTTCTGTCTCAGCATATCCAATACCTGCTTCCGAGTAAAACAACCTGAAATATATTTATATACACTTACCAGTGGAGAGTGTAGCTTTCATACCTTTGACATCGGCAGCAGTTACTTGCTTACCAGTTCTCTCCTTAATACTTTCGATAACTTCATCTGCTGACTTACAGTGAAGTATTACGGGCTTCAAGTTCTCTTTTTCTTCTGACGATAATCTCCTTGTCCATGGATCACATACCATCCATGAACTACTACATGGATGATTGTGGAGCATGTTGTAAGATTTGATGACATATCCTTGCTCCTCTAGTCTTACACGGAATTTAGATTGACAAATACGGAATTTAGACCTTAAACATAAGATATTAGTTAAAGATCTTACGATTTTTGCCTCACTTTCAAACCTTCCGATTTCCGTTTATGACCAAACGTACAATTAAATGTTACAAACAGGTATTTGAACCTGACATCCTTCAGCATTCTGCTTTCTGTGTGGATGTAACGAGTATAAGTAGTCTGAGAAGCGATAAAATTATAATTCCATACTTTTTGGAACTCTTTTAAGGCGCTTTAAAGTCATCCCACAACACGAAACGCTTGTTCAGTATCATACTTCGAAAGGCATCGGTTAGGTCGACTGAAATGTCACTTGAGCATGAAGCACTAAAAACAGAAATGACTAATTATTAAAAGGTTATTCCTTGCAACATTAATAACCCAAGGAAATACTACAAATACTTAGGATTTACCTGTGACTTGACATTTCGTTGAGCTTTACTACAGTTGTTGGGATCAAAGATCAAATTACAAAGCAGCAACAGAGCCAAAGTGTACACTACAAAACAGAGGACGCTAAATTAATGGTTTTGGTATTTATTTCGTGCTTTTTTATGTAGCATAAGATGACTTATATATGAAAAAACTTGGTACTCATGCAATCCAACCAACCCACGTCAATTGAAATACGTAATGACCGCCTCTAGTCAAGCCGTTCAAGGTCGTTGAAACGAAAGAGCGGGCACATTTCGAAAGGACCTAACGTTTAAACCGTGCCTTAGGTCTTACCTCGTGATGCAGTTTGATGATTTGCGTAATGTATGTCCTATCCATTTTCATCATCTTTTCCTAATTTCGTCTTCAGATGGAAGCTGGTTTGTTCTCTCCCAGAGAAGGCTGTTGCTGATGGTATCCGACCAATGGATGTTGAGTATCTTGCATAGACAGCTATTTATAAATACTTGTACCTTCTTGATAATGGTTGTAGTAGTTCTTCAAGTTGCAGCTCCGCACAGTGGAACTGCCTTGACGTTAGTATTGAAGATTATGACTATGAAGTTGGTTGAAAGTTGTTCTGAGTTCCATATGTTCTTCAATTGTAGGAATGCGACCCTTGCTTTGCCAATCCTCTAAAGTGATCAACCACTGATGTAAACGGAATAAATCATTCATTTTCTTAAAATCATAATTTCTGGTTGTCAAAATTTGTGGCGAGACTATAATTTATGGATGAACCAATGAGGTATAAGATAACAGGTCTCAGATTTTGGTGCAAAATTCACTCAGCCATTTGTATAAGTAGAATTTTAGCATTACAACTTATGTCAGTTCGTGATGAAAACCCGAAATCCAATTCCTAACTTTAACCATTGACTGTAATTGAGAATTCTAATTGATTTATGGCAATCATCTAGTCCTAATCGGTAGGTATCCATTCTCATAGTCACTTTGACACCGCTCAAAGGACGTCCATAAATTATAGTCTCAGCAAGTTTATACGCTCTTATTAAATATCATTACTGTTAATGTCTCTATTCAATATAATATATTTTTGGTACAATATAGAATTCTCAACTTAAAGCACAAAATATGTCAACAAATTTCTGTGGTGGGACGACCTTTGATCGATGCTAAAGTGACCTTGAGAGTTTCCACTTAATAACTAGGACCAAATGAGGGTTATAAACCAGTGTGAAAAATCAGAATTATGATTTACAGTTGGTGATTAAGCTTAGGAATTGGATTTCGGGTTTTCATCACGAAGTGACATCAGCTATAATGTCAAAACTCTATTTACCTGAATGGATGAGTTAGTTTTGCGCGAAAATCTGAGATCTGTTATCTTATACCTCATTGGTTCATTCATAAATTATAGTCTCACCTTTTCTGTTTCTTGTTTCATGATTAAAACCAACGATGAATATTGTGTGATTGCCAGTTTGATGCAAGCAATATCAGGAATGAATATATGAGAAAATGTTCACTCTTCTCAATGCACATTGCCGACAAACATGATGTCTCTGATTGTACATTTCATAAACACGCCGGTATATGTTATGTAATTAAAAGAAATCATAACACATGGATTGTTCAGATATCTAGATGGCAGTAACAGGCAGCCCAGATATTTATACATATCTACTTTGTCATATCATGAATGATTTTAGCGAACATTACGAGTGAACATGAAAACATTAATTTATGATCCATTGTTTCTTATTTAAAAACGTGATTGTTGAACTACTGTATGTGCAATACAATCAACCAACAAAGGAGGAAATGAGTTGGAAAATAAAGGGGAAATAATGAGGAAATGTCTGCTTTTTCGTCTGTCCGGAGGAAATAATGCGGATTCTCCTCTTTTCGTCGCTCTGCTTTCCAAATGTCATTGAATTGTCTATTTTTTGCCTAAATATACCCCAAATCGTCTACTTGTGGCTACTAATAATTCATCAATATTGTATAAAATAGTAATCTAATACTAATAATCTGTTAACAAATATCCACTAATAATCAATTAAAGATTTACCATAGGTACCCTCTGTAGGAAGCAATTTCCCACAGATTCAACTCTAAGCTAATCTCTAGACTGTCGAATACAGAGTCTTAGTTTGGCCAAAGTCAGAACAAGCAAGCTATTTGGCTATATAAACTTTATCTGTTCCTAAAACATAAATCAACATCGTTAGTGTACAAACAAACAGTACGGTCTATTAATACAGAGAAAAACAGAGACAAATAACATACCGAACAGTAGCTAGAGAATAGGAAAAATGAGTCAACAAGCCAAAATTGTTTTACAATGAACATTAAACTGTGATTGGTTAATAAAGAGATACAGTCGTACAAGGTCAAAAGGAGTTGATGTGGTGGTGGGCGTTTCCTTTATTATTGTTGGGTTCGTCTATCAATCACATTTTACACTCCCCCCGAAACGCGCACCACGTCCGTTGTCCAGGGTCGTCGTCGCCGTCAGACAGCCGGCTCCTTCTAGTAAACATAAGCGTCGTACGTCCCGAGCAGTTTCTTCGTTTGAGGTTCTCAATTTTGCCGTACGAACTCGTCCGTCAAAGCCATAGCTTACTTGTTCGACAATAGCTTTGGACCATAGACTTCTCAGTGAGCCAACATTGTTTAATAACACTAAGTCTCTCGAAGACTCATCCATCAATACCTTCTGAAACAATAGTGATCGCAGAATTCTTCTTATCGACCTTATGATGCGTCCCCATACACCGTCTCGTTGACTAGACCTCGGAAGTTTAAAGCGCCATTCACAACCTCTCTCTAAAAGGGCATTTACTGTCTTATTCTGATTCCAACTACACAGGATCTGTCTAAGAATAGCATTGGATCCTATAGAACTACCAGATGCACCCTTACTCTTGTTCGCAACTTTTACAAGGGCGCCTTTCTCAACACCATCCTCGATACCACGGCGAATATGTGCTACCTGCTTCTTCAGGGTCTTAGTTACAGTGGTCTTCGGCTTTTTCGTAGTCTTCACTTTCAGTTTGATGTCCTTTTCCTTAAGCTTTCTTAGAGTTGATTTGGATTTATTAGCAGATGATGCTTCAGTTTTTGGCTTAACAACCTTATACTTAGTTAATAAAAACGAACAATGAACTTGACGAAAGACATCTTCGGAACGAGTATACCTCGCGACACCATATGCAGATTCTGATGATGCTATACGATCCTCCACAGACATCGATGAAGTACGACTAAGTCGGTCTTTGAATTCAGTTGAATACGATTGTTCAAACTTATCCTCTAATTCCTCTTTAGCTGAGAGGTGATTGAGTACACGATTGCTTTTACAGGGTTCCCCATAGGAACCGAACAGCGTCCAACCTAACAGAGTCTTCACGGCGAATGGTTCATTCGGCTTTCCAGTTCTTACCTCTTTCATTTCGTGTACACTCGGTGCATTGCACCCGATCAACAGTTCGACATTCTCATCCTCTACTCTAGGAAAACTTATGTCTTCTAAATGCGTCCAGGATTTCATTTGAGACGTCGTTGGTACCGTCCTGCGCAACATAGGTAATCTCTCGACTGTCCATACGTTTGGGATTCTAAATGACGAAGACGAGTCTAAGGAGGAAACCTCTAGTTGAACCTCTTTACACTGAATTGTGGAATGGTTATCCAACGTTTTCAACGAAATCGTCTTAGGCTCTCCTTCTAAATTCAACCTTTTAGCTAGATCTTCTGTAATAAGAGAGGCATCCGACCCACTATCTAAGAAGGCGCAAGTTTGTGCTACCTTTTTTCCATTTCTTACCAGTACAGGCACTATTGCGAATGCTGCTTGTTTCTGTACACTCTCAACACTTTTCTCCGTACATAGCTGGGTGTTAATGTGTGCATCAATATTAGTACTCCTTGGTTCTTCCTGCAACTCGTGTAACAGGGTATGGTGTCTCCAGCCACACCCTTCGACAGCACACGACCTCAGCGATCGACAGTTTTTTGCCACGTGGTTTGCCTTCAGGTATACATTACACAACTTGTGTCTAAGAACGAATTCCTTCCTTTCTCTAACATTCTTGTCTTTAAATTTCTGACATTGATCTAAAGAATGATTACTGAAGCACTCCAAACAAGATGAACTGCGTAAGAGAGCATTATCATCACTAGCACTCGCATAAGATATTCTTTCTGCATTGTAATCTGTACTAATTTTCCTTTTTAAAACGCCAACATCTCTATTGTCACTATTACTACCGCGGTTGACGAGTAGGCCGTATCTAGTATTAGCTATATCAGCTTGCTCCTTTACAAACTCAACAAGATCAGTGAACAGAGGCTCTCTGCCTCCTCTGATAATCTTATAAGCTACCTTTAACCACTCTTGTTGAATGTGGGTTGGTAATTTCAGAACCATAGTTTCAATAGTTCTAGAAGAGTTCAAATCAGAAACGTAATTCATCTGTTCGAGAGTCAAACTACATGCTTGCATTTCTCGAGATAGTCTTCTCAAACCATCTGGTTGATTTCTCCTTATATTGGGAAAGTTTAACAAGTTATCGATAAACGTGCGTGCTACGACGTGTTTTTGGCCAAACGTTTCCTCTAAAAGCTTTAGGGCTTGATGGTAACCTATCTCTGGTTCTAGTATAGTACGATGAAGGATAGCGGCTTTCGCTTCCCCGTCACAATATTGAATCAAGTAATTTAGCTTAGCTCTAAATCCAATGTTCTCACTCCCAATTCATTCTTCGAAATTTCTAATGAAGTTCCAATAATTTGTCGGTGTACCATCAAACCTTACGACTTCTCTTTTTGGTAGATACAGATTTTTTAATATTGTATTCTCACTGTTGCTTACTGATTGGCCGGAACCTTCACATCTCCGGCAGCGCAATTTTTATAGTTCAATTTCCTTTTCTAACTGGGTTATGCGCAACCTAGCTAACTCTAGTACTATCATGCTGTTGTTTTTGAGTTCGTTCTTTCCAAGTTCATCCTCGTCATAAACTCCCGAGTGATGTGGTGATAATTCTGGAATCTCATCGGAATCGTAGTGTTTATTGGAAGTCATTTCAGTAGGTATATCGAATCTACTGTTCGAAACTTTGTAGGAAGCAATTTCCCACAGATTCAACTCTAAGCTAATCTCTAGACTGTCGAGTACAGAGTCTTGGTTTAGCCAAAGTCAGAACAAGTAAGTTATTTGGCTATATAAACTTTATCTGTTCCTAAAACATAAATCAACATCGTTAGTGTACAAACAAACAGTACGGTCTATTAATACAGAGAAAAACAGAGACAAATAACATACCGAACAGTAGCTAGAGAATAGGAAAAATGAGTCAACAAGCCAAAATTGTTTTACAATGAACATTAAACTGTGATTGGTTAATAAAGAGATACAGTCGTACAAGGTCAAAAGGAGTTGATGTGGTGGTGGGCGTTTCCTTTATTATTGTTGGGTTCGTCTATCAATCACATTTTACACCCTCAGTTAACTGCAATCAATGTAAAAACATATTAACATGATCAATTAATATTATTTTTACTACTCTAATAATAATCAAAAGTGCTTCCAGTGCTTCCAGGTTTTCAATGGTGGTCTAGCTTCAACTGACTCATGATTTCAATCTGTGAAAATAATCAAAAGTGTTTGGATGATTTTGTAAAAAGTTAATAGTATTGTAATATATTCTAACGATGTCGATAGATATGAGTAGTATGTATCATCTAATCAAAAGTGAAATGCCTGGTAGATTCAGGCTAAGAAAATCTAAGAAAAGAAATCGAATATAGCGAGTGATTGATATGGAGACAAAGGAATAATAAAATCTGAGACAATTGATTGACATTTTGCAGATGAAGTCTTTGCTGTATAGTTCATAGATTTTACGAAGAGATTCTGTAATTCCTTATCCAAACGCATTTGGGTTTCCCCACTTATATTCTCGTTCACTATAGGAATAACCGAGTCGATTAACGATAAACTAACCAACAGACAACTAAGTTAGTATCCAAAGTCTTTCATGTTTAATTCCAGACATTTTGCTATATCATAAGTATGACACAATTGGAGGATAATGGAATTTATTTGAATACAACATTACCGAATCACTTAGTAAAATCTAAGAAGCATTCAGTAAATTCCTCATTTACAAAATGTCAATCAATTGTCTTAGACTTGACTGTTCCTTTATTTCTACATCGACTATCCACTGTTCACATTCACCTTTCTTCAAACTTCTTAACTTTCTGTCACTAAGTATTTTACTTTCGATTGATGGTACATACTACTTATATATGTCGATATCAGTAGCACACACCATAACACTAAAATTTTCAACAATTTGTTTGGTACTTCTTAATTTTTTTGAAAAAAAAGTGGTAAATTACAAATTATTTTCTCAATAATAATTCTCAATAGAATTAAACACTTTAAAATTATACTCGGTTGTTTATTATTGATAATGGATGATTGTAAGGAATCATTGGTTGATGATGTTTCGGAGGATATTTCTTGTTATTCATTGATTTCATCTCTGGTTTACAGCTCTTAATCGTTATTCGACAATGTTGTTTCGTCCATGGTTGAAGTAAAATTTGAATTTGACACACCTGTTCAGTCTAAAATTGCATGAAATATAATAACATTAATAATAATAATTATTATTATCAGTATAGGGTTGTGGAGATTATTTCGTTTTTGATTGAGATCATGAATCGAATGATGTTAGACCACAATCGAAACACCTGTAAGCATTGAACGGCCATTTTTTCCTATTGTGTGACTCTTCAATAGTGCGCATCCACGATTCCGCTCGCGGGATTGGAACTCAAGGCCTTCCGTTGCACGCACGAACGCTTAACCTCTAACCATTGAGACGGCCGGTATTCAATGGTGTTAATGTCTAACCTCAACCAATCCAAAAAATTGCGTGACTATCTCTCATTGTACTTGGATAGATACCTGTCTCTACCCGACAAAGATTAGATCCACTGGTCACGGCTTCTCACTAGAACCCTGAGAATATACTTACGAAGCTAGTCACTAGTAAGCACATGGTAATTATCATTATAGAATTATGGACATTATTAAGTTTTTGATTGAGACCTTGGTGGTCTAACATTAATCGGTTCATGATCTGAATCAAAATAGTAATGATGTTAATCGATATTATTGAGTGTCATATGCATCATTACAGTAAATAATACTTAGCATAGATTATGTAATAAATCGTAAAAGACATTTCTCTAAAGACTATTCTCCTGAAATCCCTCATTATCCTATGGTCTATATATCTATATTAGATGCATAAGTTTTAAAGTATTTGCTTTTCATTTTGTCTGAATGACAGTCAAGGAAGAAAATATATACAAACCACTATGATGATATGGTTCTTCTGATATTAAGCACTGAAAAGAACAACCCAAATTGGATCACTCAATGGTAGATATTGCTTTTTGAATAACTTCTATCATGAAATTAATTAGAGGTATGTCTTTTAGTATGCTGTAATTTTTCTTTCATCATAACTGGTTATGTTACTATTAACACGAAAGTAGTATGATAAAATAGTATTTTCATCATAGAAAACTTTACATATTTTTATGTAACCCAGAATAAAACAACCCCACCCTCTATCATGGACTATGATAGTGCAAATAGTAATAACCGTTTCATTTTAGTTGGTTGCCAGGTGTAATGTCTAAATTGTGAACAAGAATGAAGTTTATCCTTAGTCTTAATTAGCGCTTAATTGTAAATATTTATACAGTATGTCTCCAAATACTTCAAAAATGCATGTGTGTATGTGTGTAAATCCATTTCGTGAATCAACATTTTCAACATAAGCAATCATGGTTTATTTCTTACAGTCATTTGATTAATATCGACGGAAGAACTCGAATAAACTGATGTATAATTAATAGAAATCCTTCAAATTCCTCTATTCTGGATGTTTACGGTTTACTTCCAAGTCATCTTATTTTCTGACTTACAATTAATACCTTTCAGGATACAAACAGACTTAAATCAGATTTTGATAACTTTACGATAATAAAATAAAGTCAGACAATAACATTATTGGATGCCGGCCGGCTCAGTCGTTCAAACTTCAAGGTTTCGCGCCCGAAACCGATAGATCTTGGGTTCGAATCCCGCGGGTAAGATCATGGATGAGCACTGCTGAATAGTCCCATACTAGGACAAAACGGCCGTCCACTGCTTCCATGTTTTCCCCAGTGTTCTAGCATTAATTGACTCATGAATTCAACTATTAAAATACTCTCAAACCTTTTATGATAACAATCACATAGACCAGTTTAGACTATAAATAAACATAGACCAGACAACCATTGAAGGCCATTTTGTACAGAAATACTATGTATGTGAATCACCAGGGAGTCTTATACTAGAATGAAACTACTTTTCGTTTTCCTGAGGATATCAATAATTGCGTAGCTTAAATCATCTTGGGATGTAAACTTTCTACAAAGCGAACAATCTTAGAAACATACTAATTTTAAGGAAAAGTTCACTTTTTAATTCCATTTCCATTAACATTTATCTGTTATCATAGTTGATTTCACGAGTTGATATAAGCTAAACCATCATTGAAAACTTGGAAGCACTAGACAGCTGTTTAGTCCTAACATGGGATTACTCAGCAATGCGCATCCACAATCCCACATCACAGACTCGAATCCAGTACCTTCGGTCTCGCATACTTAACCTCTATAACACTGGGCCGGAATCCAATAGCATTATTGTAATCTATTTAATTCATCTACCATAGTTTCTAGAGGATGACCCTTTTATATTATTTATTTATTTATCTGAACACACAAATATTAGTACAGTGGAATACAAAATAAATATGCACCACACAAGTCACTTGAGTTGTGCGTGAACTGTGATGCTGCCCGGGTACTCAGACCGAAGCAGGTAGTTTTCTTAAAGAACCACACCTGGAGCCTTTGAACTAAAGGTCTGATCTACAACACAGTGCAGCAACTTTACGAAATGCAGTTCCATGGTAGTCGGTGACCAACAATTGATTTATACACCATTCGTTTTATCAGGATACTGAAACCCATATGCACCATTAGTTTGGATTCAGGATTTTCCGACTCTCCTTGGTAGACCCTTCTCTACAACCAACACGGTTGAAGCACTGGACATTCGCTTTGCGTCCTCTTAACTTCGTAAAAAACACTCACGTCATGAGTAGGAAATCCCTGTCATTGGCTGTATACGCATGGCAATGTGAGAGCATTTCAAAAAGGAGAGCGGACTCCCCAATATCTCTGACCGTACCAGAGCATAAGATCTCAATCTAACAATGAATAATTTGAAATTCGAAGTTCATTTTTTGTAAAAACAATCCATCAATCATTAATTTCTATACAAAACTTACAGTATTATGATTGAATTGACATCGAATCGTTTGATTGTTCTTAATCTTTTGCATCATCCTATTATGTTTTGTACAATTAGTACGTGTAAGATGTAAATTATATTGTAATAATAAACCATTTACAATCTAATTGGAAGAAAATTTATCAATATAATAATATACTACTTGTATTGTTATATCAGTAATATTAGTTGGTGCATACCAAAAATTTGAATTTATTATTTTATTCACAAGAATAACCGACTTGTTAATTAGAGTTTCATTTAAAATAAGATGCCTATCTTTGTCGACATGATCAATTCCACCAAAATTGAAACATGATTGCAATGTAATAGTTACAATGAATAGAATTGCCAGATTAAATGAACTCATCATTAGATTATACAATAGAAATGATAATGATATTGAATAACAACTAACGATACTACTTATATTTATAGTATTTCAACTTTAGTAAACAGCTATTTATTTACATAGGATTGCTTGTTTGCTTTGTTTTGTTTGTTTATCTTTAAGTAAATGTGTGTTACATTACTTAGTAAATAGAAAAAGTTTATTATTCATATGATTTCATGAAGTATATATAATAAACAATGAAGTACTATTGATTGATAATGTCGGCCTATTAACAGTTGTAATGATGTAATAAATGGAACATTTGTTGAGAATAACCAATTTAATAATTTGATAGTTGAGATCATGAGTCAATTGAAGCTAGACCACCATGGAACACCTGGAAGTCCGATTGTGGGATTCCTCAGCAGTTCACATCCACGATCCAAGTTCCGCGACTTTCGAACCCAAAATCTATTGGTCTCACGCACGAATGCTTAAGCCTTAGACCACTGATCCGGCATCCAACGGTGTTAATGTCCAACTATAACCAATCCACGAAATTGAGACACACGTCCACCACTATCCTCAGACAGTAATCAATATACTATTGAATGCAAAATCACACAGTGGTTTAATATAGTGTGAAAAGCATACATTAAGTACAACATTTCTACATGGTTCATCTGTTGTCATTGCTGTTGTTTTTAATTTAGTCCTGTACTGCTAAGTATTTTACTTCTGATTAGTGTTACATACTACTTATATCTGTCAACATAAGTAGCATACACCACAGTATTATTGAAAAGTTATTTCAAAAATATGGAGTTCAGTTTGAACTGAACTAAATAACAATATGATATTATTAATTGTATGCGGATTTGTACTATTAACTGAATGATTTGGTCGTAAACCAGGTTGAACATACATAAGAGAACAGTCAAAAATACTGACGGAAGTCAAGGATTGTAGATTTCTATAAAGTATAATCATTATAAATCTTTTTATGTTTGTGCTTTAATCCTGTGGGATTACATGTGGACAGGTAGATGATGGGCCCTTAGTTAAGACAAAACGGTTGTTTAATGCTTCTTTGTCTTAGTAATTCACTAGCTCCTATTTGTATACACCGAAAACTATTCCAAGATTAAAGTAATTTCCCATAGATCACTTTAACATAAAACCAGATGGTATTGTAGTGAACAAGAACACAGATGGGGGACAATCGATGAATTTGAACAAAAAATTACAGGATATCTTAGTGAAATCTGGGAACTATACAGTAAAAAGAACACTTCATTTGCAGAATGTAAATTGTTCCTTCGTTTCCACACCAACCATTCTTTGTTCTCGTTCTCTTTTCTTTGATCTTCTTAACATTTTGCCTACAAGCATTCCACTTTCGGTTGATGATACATATTACTTATATCTGACAACATTAGTAGCAGACACCACAATATCATCTTCAATTGATGAAGAATATTTCCAGAATGATATATTGTTACAAAAGGTTGTCGCATTTTATCTTGTAATTTGATTTGCAATAAATAGATTATAACTGATAGCTGAACCTAGGATACATGTTACGTCTTATTTAAGTTTCGTCAGCTGTATGTGACTAAAACCTAGTTTAAATGTTTATATTGCATCTAGAACCCAGTATTTCACGCTTCAAACTCTTAAAGTATTATGAATTAAACTACTAATTTAAAATAGTTGCTTACTCACCACCCAGTTATCAATCAATTGTAAATACATCTCAGGCCTACAAGAGGTCATTCGAGGCCCGGATAGCTCAATGGCAACGTCTCTGATTGTGAACCTGGCTGACACGGGATCAAATCCGTCAGAGAGTATCAGTTCCCTCAAGATCACATGTACACCTTGCTGACGAGTGCCAAGGTACAGGGTTTCCTGTTCACTATCTCCAACCACCATCTTATCGCAATTTAATGTAGAAAAAAAAAGAAAGAACGACAACCTACTGACAAATGAACCATACAACTTGGCATTATATCTCCTAATGTAACTTGATATTAAAGGTAAAAATTACCATTATTTACTTTCATCAACAGTATCAACCAGATTCAATAAATTCAAATATCATAAATATACATGTAAATAAAAAACTTTTTAAGATGAAGCTTTGTGGAGACTGTAGTAATTTTTAAAAAGTATGAATAGTTGCGTAAGAACATGGGTCGATCGAAGTTAAACATTAACACCGTTGGATACTGGCTCAATGGTTAAGAGGTTAGGCGTTCGCGTCCGAGACCGAAAGTCATGTGATCGAATCCCGTATGTAGGATCGTACATGCGCGCTGATGAGAAGTTCCACGTTAAAACGAGATGGTCATTCAATACGTTCACCTTTTCAATGGTGATCTAGCTTAGATCGAATAATGCACTGGACTAGTAAAACTATTACAATCTCCAGTCTGCTAGTATCTTTTTGTTGATTGATGTGTATTTTCAAGAGAATCTCATCGATAGTGGAATTTTACTACATGTTTCCTGTATATATTCTACATTGTGCGTAGTACTGTAATTCACAACGCTCTTTTTTTTCATTATGAAATTACCAGTTAGATCTATCTGGGTTAAAATGTTGATAACTTATTCAGTGAGTTTTGTATCGTCAATTATAAGAAAGATTGAATATTATTCAATCATTGTATAGATCTTTAAGTATTTGGAATGTAAAATTCAATATCGCTATTTTGTTACAAGTTCCTAACTACAGATCTTAGTTTGATCGATGTCTTACAGATATAATTGACTGATTATTTAACTTTAGAGAAGTCAATAAGATTCAATATCTCAATACAGGTACATTGATCTGATTCATTTGTCAATCTTTGAAGAACTATGGACCACTAATTTCATCAAGAATTGCTGTATTGAAGCACGTGAATATTTGTTCAAGAGGGCATCAAATATTTACGCGACACACTTCAATATTCGATCTGTATGAGGGATGGTATACAGTCCGTGTGCCCAAACCGAAGCCGGTGGTTCTATTAGACTGCCCCAACCCGGGCCTTCCCCCCGGAGGTATAATCCATAAGGCGATAGACCAATGTTAGGAGATGTAGTCCCACTGTAGCCGGTGACCAAGAATAGGTCTATATGCAATCTGTTCTCTCAGGATCCTGGAACCCATCACTGATTTGAAATTATGTTTTTCCAACTCACCTAGGTGGACTGTGGGGTTCTATACGTTCGAGTGCCGTAGTTGCATACCGAACTCTGCGTTAATCAAGTAGCGAACTTAACACTACGATCTAATTCTTGCTTCCTGTATTATATTCTTATACATAGTATTTCTTTTATATATTACTATCATCGGAGTAATTAATTCTATGAATATGGTGTTCATCTTGTTGTGCTAATGAGGTGTGGCAACTTGGAGTGATGCATAAATTTGCCTAATCCCACATTGTAGCAGACTGACAACTAATATAAGTCCGGAACTAAACCTACATGTTGACTGGGTAAGCCGTCCAAGAATCAACGAAAACTAATTTTCCTTAGGGTATCATATCGGTCAAGTTGCAAGTTAAGCCAATTACCATAATTACTGGGCATAACTACAAAATTCGACTATTAAACAAAAATTTTAAAACTATCCACTTGTCAATTATGTATATAGACGGTTAAAAGCCTTTACTGAATCCTAATCACCCAAGACAGATCTTTTGTTCATTACATAAATCAAAAGATTCCCCATTATTTCACAAGCTCAATTATACCACAAGTTAACATTTATAGACTGTTGGTCAAATGATAAATAATCTAATGAACAGTAAACTAACTCGGTACCCATATACTGTGTTCAATAGGAGGTAATTAGAGGTTATCGTTAGGTTTTACTTGATCTACATTTCCTCTTCACTGCCTCTTATCTTCCATGTAATCTTAAGGGGAATTCGTACAAATCGTTTGATTCATATCCATGTCACTCAATTTCATAGTAAGTCATGTTATGTTACTGAGCTATTTTTAACTGAGAAAGATCTCTTATATTATGAATTGTATAGCGTTGAAATTCAACTAATATTTTAACATTACAGACCATACTACTTATTATCTAGTTAGTAGTTAAATCAATAAAACACAATAAACTAGATAAAATGCATTTTTTGAATGAATTAAACAATAGATATCTGTATAAAGTTGATTGTAAAACGCATTCAATTATGACTAGATAAAAGCCAGTAAAAATAATAATAATAACAATAAATTAGACAATATTCCCATGTTAGTATTATCATAAGTAATATATTGACTTTACAATGCATTTATCCCATTACTAACCATTTAACGTTTATATATATATAAAGTAATGATGGACAATAGAAGAATATACCAGAAAAAAAAGAAAAGAAAGAGAATGATGGGAATATTCAATTAATAAAAGAAACTAACGTTTCTTCTTTTTGTAAACAAAACGAAAAATATATATAATAAACTCCTATATTAGAACTTTGAATCAGCAGTAATTCCATAGTTCTTTAATGAATTCTTTACAGTAATATACATTCACCACTCCAATGAACCAATTTAAAACATCGAACAACGTTACAATACATACATTATTGTCATGGTATAACAGAAGCCATTTAATCGTTTCAAATGAAAACTACATAATCAATAAATAAGCAAACTACTTTTAACTTAAATAGTAGTAATGAAATTAACATTAAAAAAACCAACATTTTTTAAAAAAAACCTTAATACTATTTAACTAGAATTTGTTATTGTGAAATTACTACAACAAATCTCTTTTGATATAAATGAATGTGATGAGTTATTAGTTAAATTTAAATTATTAAAAGAGTTCATTAACATTAAAGCAGAAGATTGTTCATCGAATAACAATGATGATGATGACACTGGTGATGATGATGATGATGTTGTTGTTGTTGTTAATGATGGTGTTGTAAACGTATCAAAAGATAATGCTGGTGAAATAGATGCTGATGATGTATGAGATGATAAAGATAGAGATTCTGTATATGAATTATTCTCTGTACATAATAATGATGTTGTCATAGTAGTAGTAGT